CAAACAGCGGCCTCTTGATTACTTGGACTGCCACGGCAAAACAGGTGCAAAACACTGGCACCCTGTCTACAACTTCATTAACATCCATCTACAACTTCACTAACATCTCTCCGTATTGTGAACAACACTGAACTTACCTTTTGTTGGTCTCTCCATGAACTTACCTAAAAAGATAAAGAAAACAAAAGACTGAGTTAAGCATTTGAAAAATCCATTGAAACCAGACATTATAAGTTCATCATAGGTTGGGTAGTTTGCAAGTCTCTGTGGCTTTGCATAAGGTTTCGTATTTTTCTCAGAAGATTGATAAAGAATGTATAATTATTTTGATAATTATTGCGGGAATACATGATGGCAAGCCACTATTGGACAAGGTTCCTTGGCCTTTGTTCAGTGTTTTGAAATGTTTGTCTGCCTTTAGGTTTACTGTGGCAGAAAGTGTCAAGATACTGGGGTAGCTGGTCTGTCATGTATATGCAACAGCTCTTATGTTCTCCTTCTTCCCAAGAAAGCAAAGTCTACTGGGGAAAGATGGTAGCCACTGAGGAGAGCAGGAACTGGCCGGGTAGTCAAAGTCCAGGACTTGGCGCACTAATCTAGCAAAATATATCTGCCATCCAGAGGCAGCCTACAAACAAAGGCACTGAGACACAGAGCTTTCAACACAGAACTTTGGGTTTTTATATCTTGTTTCTATACTGTCTGTCACCTGAGGATCACAGGGCAGTTTACAATATAAAAACACAAAAACACACAACATAGTAGTAAAGAAAAACAACACTCCCCCATACTTTAAAGGGCATAGATACCTCCCACACTGTTCTGGGTGATCTTACCACTCTCCAGGGCAAATTTTCAGGGGATATGGGGGAAGGAGGAATTGATGAAAATTGCCTCCTCCCTTCAGTAGGAGTGTTCACTGTGTTGAGTTTTCTTCTTGGGAACTCTGGAGTCATACTTCAGCTATGTTATGTCTTATGATATGTGGAATGCTTAGAAAACGGTAAGTGCTTTATAAGGCAATAATAATAATAATAATAATAATAATAATAATAATAATAATATATTGAAAATACTTACCATAGTACATGCCCAAAACAATGGGTCAATGGGTGGCAGTAACGCTGTCCAAATCCTGAAAGCTATTACTCTACCACTATAGCAGAGGGCAGCAGGGTCTTGGTTTCTTATTGCAACCTGTTTTAAGTGGGGATGTAGAATCATAGAATTGTAGAGTTGCAAGGGACCCCCAAGAGTTATCTAGTTCAACTCCCTATAATGCAGGTAAAGGACAGAGCAATGGGACCTCACCTCATGATGCAGATTCATACTGCCTACATTCCGATGGCAAGCCCAAGAGGCTGGTTTAGACCACAGCACCACATGCATCCCTATCAGTTCGAATCCACATGTCGGGGTGAGCTCCCATTGCTCTGTCCCAGCTTCTGCCAACCTAGCAGTTTGAAAATATACCAGCGTGAGTAGATAAATAAGTACCGCTGTGGCGGGAAGGTAAACAGCGTATCCGTGTGCTTTGGCTTCCATCGCAGTGTCCCATTGCTCCAGAAGCAGTTTAGTCATGCTGCCCACATGACCCCGAAAGTTGTCTGTGGACAAACACTGGCTCCCTTGACCTGAAGCAAGATGAGTGCTGCACTCCATAGTCACCTTTGACTGGACGTAACCGTCTAGGGGTCCTTTACTTACTTCACCTGAAGGTTAGTCCACCATTGTCAAAGAGCTCTTATTGTAAGAAATTTATTCCTAATGTTTTGTCACAATCTTCTTTCTTGAATCCCTTTGTTTGGATCCTACTCTTAGGAGCAGCAGTTGAAAACAAGCCTGCGCCATCTTTCAAGTGACAGCTCTTCATATATTTGAAAGCAGCTATCATATCACCTCTCAGTCTCTTTTTCTTCAGGCTAAACACTAGAATGGGTACCTGAGGCTCCAAAATAGGTGGAAATAAAAACTGAAAGTTGTGAAATCTCCATAGTGCTTTGAAAGAGTAGGGAGAGGGCATAATATATCTGGCTTGTATCAAAGGATATGAGTTGGAGTAGCTAGCCCTGGAATCACTTCTAAGTCTCAAAATCAGAAGGAGGAAATATCAATTGCCACATTCCTTGGACTCAAATGCGCCAGAGTTTTACCCTTGAGGTTCTCGTTTCCTCTCAGAAGAAGAACTCAATCCTTTGAAGGAATTTTTCTAATCCTTCTTATGATGGACTCTTGCCTTTGGTACTGAATGTTGTGATTACTTTATGAAGTTAAGCGCATCTGTCAAAAAGTATCCAGGCCAATCTTACTTGGATACAAGTAATCTCTGAAACCACTGAGATTAATTAATAAAATTTGATTTGCTGCAAAAAGAAAAAAGGAATATTAAAATTGGTTAACAGAGAGAGTTAAAGAGAACATCACTATGGCTAAATGTTTACAGCATAACTCTATCCATGTTGGCGATTAATTCTGTTGTATATAATTATACTAACTGGTAAATGTGTTTAAGAACACAGCTTTGGGCTGCAATCTTGTATCCATTCACCAAGGAGAAAGCTTCATTGAACTCAGTGAGATTTTCTTCTGAATAAACATGTGCTACTGGACTGAAATCCTTTACTTACCTGCGAGCAAACCCCACTGAATTGGATTTACCTTGGAATACTCTTGCACACGATTGCACTATTAATCTTTCAGAAATACCAGTTGGTTCTGTAAGTTTAAGGGTGAGCAGATTTCCTCTTTACATGGCTAATTATCTTAGTTCACAGATAATTGCATAACCTAAGGCATGATATGCAAATAGAACGGTGTAGCCTGCACTGTGCTCTACACAATGGCACTTGACAACATTTATGCAAATGTGTATTTTAATCTGTACTGAGAGACAGCTAGGTATGTATGCCTTGATTCTAAGTAGGAATGCTCAGGTTTGTATCACCCTGGTTAGATGCTCATGAATATCATATTGTATCGTATCATATCATATCATCATATCATATCATATCATATCATATCATATATCATATCATATCATATCATATCATATCATATCATCAATCATCATAACATAGCCATCATTTTGAATTTCCAACTCATCCTTCCTCCCCAAGGAGTCCAAGATGGCAAATAACCAAGCAGTAAAACAATTAAAATGAAATGAGAACCCATAGACATAAAAATCCATAGACATTAACTTGTTTCTCCATGTTTCCACATCCATGTGTATCAGTCTGCTTATTCAAGTGAAGTTGCCCATGTTTTGGTGAGAGAAAAGAAGCACTGACTCTTTTCCCAATGAGCCATAATCTTTGGTTTAAATGTAAGCAGGCAGGCGAGAGAGGAATCTATTTCCTTTGACAGCCTAAAATATCCAGGATTGGGTCTTTTCCCAATTTGGACATCAAACTATTTTTTCACTTACTGTGCCTTGAACCATTTACCCTCTACATTGGTTCTAATTACATTCATCAATTGTGATGCATGTTTAATTGGATTTTAATAGGAGTGTAACTCCTTGTTTAGCAGCAAGTTTAACAGGAGTGTAATTTATTGTTGATAAGGAACCGGGCCCCTGTTCCACCTACTAAATAAGTAGTGGAGCTGCATTTAAAAGCCATCACCAGAATGACTTTCTTCTTAGAATACAAATAGCTCTCAAGTAGAAGAACATGCCATGCATGTTTAACAATGAGGAAGGAGCAGGTAGATCTTCATGTATTTGGTGCTGCTGCCCCTCATCTTTTCTCCTGCAGGAAATAATGCAAGCTACTTTATATGACCATGCTATATTAGATATAGAACATATACATAAATCATATTTATACTAGCAAATGAATGGTCGTATATGGGAAAATGGAATACATAAGGCAGTTCCCGCTGATTGCAAGATGTACTCTTTTAGAAATTGAGGCTTAGAAACCTAAATCAGACAATCACTCTCATAAAAAAGGTAAAGGACCCCTGAAAGGTTAAGTTCAGTCAAAGGCGACGATGGGGTTGCAGCGCTCATCTCGCTTTGAAGCCGAGGGAGCTGGCGTTTGTCCACAGATAGCTTTCCGGCACAATGGGACAACATGATGGAAACCGGAGCGCAAGGAAACGCTGTTTACCTTTCCGCCGCAGTGGTACCTATTTATCTACTTGCACTGGCATGCTTTTGAACTTCTAGGTTGGCAGGAGCTGGGACAGAGCAATGGGAGCTCACACCGTCACGGGGATTCGAATCACCAACCTTCTGACCAGCAAGCCCAAGAGGCTCAGTGATTTAGACCACAGCGCCACCTGCATCCCTCACTCTCATAACCACTCTCATAATCTAAGTAAGGAATAGGCAATATAAGATCTGCAAGCTGTATCTTGCTCACCCATAATGGCTGGTCCAGTGATCAGTTACCACATGATGGCACCACAGAGTTAAGAGGACAAGTCTTGGTGAAATGGATATGTAGAGCATTATCTGCTGGATAATTATTGTGACTGCAGCTCACCCTTGTACATGGTTCATTGAACACTGGAGGATTGATTATTTATTTATTTATTTATTTATTTATTTATTTATTTAAGATTTTATTTATTAGGTTTACATGCCACCCTTCATTTGATGATAACAGGGCAGTTTACAGTATAAACATGCCTTCAGTTGAAAAATGGTCAGAATCTGACATTATTATTATTATTATTATTATTCCTCCCAAAGGACCGCAGGACAGCAAACACAGAAATTATAAAACAGTGTTAGAACATCTAATGCAGAATCCAGAAACATTTTATTTATTTATTTTAAATAATAATAAAAAAACACACACAAAGTTGCAACACTGATGGCTTCAGGAAGTGAAAGAAGGGAGAAAGACTCTACTACCTCATTTCCTCCTCAGTTTGGCAAATAAATACACAACGTGTAAGCCTACCAGCAAACGACAAATTCACTATAAATGGAAAGTTTTAAAAGTGGCCTTGTGAATTTCATCAGTCAAGCTCACCCTCTGAACTGGATAATGACGCAGTAGGTCAGTGTGGCTGGCTGTTAACCAGAAGGTTGCTGGTTCAAGCCCACCAAGGGATGGCTGTGGTCAGAATTCCAACTCTACAATGATTCTATGATCCAGGCCATTTTCATTTGGAGATAGTTCACACATACCAGGACTATTAGCATCTTCATCCAAATGAAGTTCCGCTATCTTGAACTTTGAATGTGGAGCTTTGTTTTATATTTATCATCACCTTATAAAATATCACCATATTATAAAATACTAAGGTGGCTGGCCACTTAAAGCATTGCAAAGGCAAAAGAGGAGAGGGGAATTTTCAAGAGATGCCTGAAAGGTAATAAGCGATGATTCCTGCCAAATCTATCTTGGAAGAGGGTTCCACAGCACGGGACTGGTGGCACTAAATGCTTAGCTTCTGGTTGAGGTCATTTGGGCCTCTGTCATTCAGCAGAGAACTAACAGTTCTTCTGCAGATGATCTCAGTGATTAAGTTGGGATATAAGGGCTCAGTGCTCCTTATGAAATCCTGGATCTAAGTCACCCACTTTTGTAACAGGTATATATGAAGTTCCAGTGATGCTCAACTGCCTTATCTGGAAGCATCCAAAACCTCAGGGAATGCTATGGCTTTCATTAAATCAGATCCTTCTGAGTAGCCTCTCAACATTAAGACAGAATGGTCTGGTCCTGACAGGAACCACGATTTAGGGAGCACAACCCTGGGGGCTGACTACCTACGCAACACCACTCTTGAGGTGTATGGATTCTGCTAAAAAACCACCACTACCAAATCTGTAAAATCAAGTCTGCTGCTAGAATCCTCCAGATAATCTGAAAATAAGTAGCAAGTATATTCTTCAAGAGAGTTGAACATACTTTTCTAAGCACTGGTAGTGCTGCATCATCCAGACAAAATCTATATTATCCAGCTCATTTAGTTCAGTGAACTTTGCCTGCTGATCTCTTTTCATTGGGATTTGGCATGCTGTTTTCAATAGAAATAAACAGTATTTCTGAATGAAACCAACAGTGATTTTCTAGTGCTTAAGCAATTATCTCTGGGGTATCCCATTTTTAAAAAGAAAAGAAAAACCACGCAGACAAACACAAATCCAGTAATAACCCTTTCTTATTATAAAATTGTCTTGTTTTCTGCTTATGAGCTGCTTTGCTAAACTGCTTAGAATTAAATTAGACACTAACTGGTGATTAAAATGTGACCCCTTTTGCTAAGCAGAAAATCTTTCTCATGTTGTAGCTATGAATGTGCCAAATGAAAGCAGAGGCTGTAAACAAACTACAAATGGAAACTACAAGCCATAGACACCGGTTAGTTGTGTCGCAGCAGCTCCCTGGAGTTATGAAGGGCATCGGAGAATGGTCTCAAACATCTTTTCCCCTTGTAATCTCTCAGTGAATCATCGAAAGGTTGGTTCTTGCTGTTTGGAAGCTGAAGTAAAACGTTTACAGACTCCTCCCCTCAGACTTTCACCTGCCTCTTCTAAAGTAGGAAACACCCCCCTTCTGTTCCAGGCTGTCTGTCCCTATGGACACATTTCCAACCATCCTTATTCAACTTCAAAGGTAACAGCTTTTGTATGTGATCCTATAATGAACATAGGTAAAGGTAAAGGGACCCCTGACAGTTAAGTCCAGTTGCGGATGACTCTGGGGTTGCGGCGCTCATCTCGCTTTACTGGCCGAGGGAGCTGGCTTTTGTCCACAGACAGTTTTTCTGGGTCATGTGGCCAGCATGACTAAGCCACTTCTGGCAAACCAGAGCAGCGCATGGAAACGCCATTTACCTTTCTGCCAGAGCAGTACCTATTTATCTACTTGCACTTTGACGTGCTTTCGAACTTCTAGGTTGGCAGGAGCTGGGACTGAACAACAGGAGTTCACCCCGTTGTTGGGATTCGAACCGCCGACCTTCCGATCGGCAAGCCATAGGCTCAGTGGTTTAGACCACAGTGCCACTCGCGTCACTTATAATAATGAACATAGGCCATACCAATAACTGGTTTTTGCACGCACACCAACATTTCTCCAGTGAAAATAGGAACATCCTATTCTACACCAGGAAGCTTCATATATATATATATATATATATATATATATATATATATATATATACAGGTCACCTTAAGTCAATTGCAACCTCTCCTCCAAACCTACCTCACAGGATTGTTGTAAAGAAAAAGAAATGTGCAAGGGAAGGGATGAAATAGTGGTTTATAATGAAGTTTGGCCAGAGACAGTCTACACCAAAGCACTACAAATGCCTGTCTGGCCAAAAAGGATGGGAAAATAAATGAGTATAAACCTATAACTAATTATCCCACCACCTTCAAGTTTCTTCAGGCAAATACCACAGGGGAAAGTAGCTTATAAATACATATTATTATAAATCATTATTACAATTATCATAAAAACAAATTATCTGTGATGTGTGTGTGTGTGTGAACATTTAACATTTCTTTAAAAAATATGTTACCAACTTCTCAGGAGCTAGATTTTTCAGGATGAGAATTGCTAGCTGCCTTGCCAAATGTAAATCTGGAAACAGGGAGATTTGGCGATGACCAAGACAAGGCACATTATGTAATATGCTAAAGAGAAAAGACTGGAATGACTGCTCCCCGCTTAAAACGGGGGGCGCCCTTTGCGTGGACGCGTGCAGCCCTGGATCTTGAGCGGCCCCATCAGCATAGGCTTGGCTTTGCCTTCCCTCAGGTGGGATACCTGGAGGTCCCCGCCTACCTCAGTCAGTTGTCCAATCCCACCTGGGGGAAGCGTTGCCAAGGAGACCAGGCCAGGTAGGGGAGGGATTACCTGCCCACACAATAGAGGGAGGATCTTACCTGGGAATCCTCACTTGGCTCCAGAGCTTCTCCCACCCTACCCACCCTCAGTTAATGTCTTCCTTTGCAGGTTAACTTTTCTTCATAGGTTTTGCAGGTTAACTTTTCTTCACAGGTATGCGGGCGCTGCTACGATAAGATCGCTGTTAAAGGGCCGGAAAGGAATTTCCCTGCATTGGCAGGTTTCGCCTTTCCCGTAGCAAAACGTCACAACTTTGGCGGTATCAGGCCTTGGGCGGAATCCTTTAGTCCATCTTCCTCTTTGCGGCGGCGATACCAGGGTTCCCCGTTAAAGGGGTTTCTGAAGGGAGGCTTTGACCGTACGCCGAAAGGTCATCATTGCTCTCCCCTGCGGCGGCGGCGTAACGGGGGCGGCTATCTCTGCTTGAACATATGTTCTCCAGAGCCGGCTCATCCCCCCCCCCACACTGGATAACCCTGAAGCTCCCTAGGTCCCTGGCTGGGGACTGGGGAGGGAGAACGCCCAATGCCTGAGCCAAGGTCTACCCACACTTGAAATTTAGCACGTTGTCTTGAGTCGTTATTCCAGATGACGGGGGGGACCGCTCGGGATCTGGGGACTCCGCCTGTCCACGCAAAGCTGGTGGCCTTGCAGATGCCTTTGCTGTTATATACCAAGATAAAATGACAGGATAAAACAGGACTTTGCTAATATAACATGGCATTGCCTGATAGAAAAGGTAATGACTAGGAATTTTTAAAGAAAGTTTCATTACAGATATATTTTAATCACCTAAGTTGTGTGTAACTGCAGGTGCAGAAATTTAATCTTCACAACCTCTCTCTTACTGCTTCCCCCCCTATTTAAGTTTTACTGTTTCTTCAGTGATGTATTGGGAAAACACCTCCTTCTAACAGCTGCAAAACTTACTTAAAAAAGGGGCGAGTTCAGAACTTATTTGCAGTTCTTTGGAACATATTGTCCAAGGGCCTGAGCTTGTGAAGTTTGAGAATTCCGAGACAAATTCTGCTTGTGTTGCAAACTCCTTTTATTTATTTATTTTCCTTGAAATGCAGGAGGAGGCATTTGTGAAGCCTATCAAAGCCACAAGGCCACTCTCTCTCATTCTTCTCCTTCTTTTAAATATTTCATGGTACTCCAGAAACAGTTTGCAGGGTGGGGCAAAGCCACTATGTGAGCTTCGCTGTTAGTGGGCTACTTTTGCTTACCTAAAAGGAGTGGGGGCACAAGGCTGCAGGGAGGTTGGTGCAGTGCAAGCACACTTATGGGGACAATCTGGCATTCCTGCCTGTGTGTTTGCACTACCCTGACCCCCCTTGCCACCTCACCCCTCCCACCTCTCCCTCTTAGCAGATAGAGGCCCACTTGCTAGGAAGCTAGCCTGGCCTTTCCACTCCACCCAATGAGAACCTTGAAGAGACAGAGGTGTTATTGGGTTCCAAGTTCTGAAGTCTAGGAGGTGGGAAGACAGCTTGTTCCACAGGGCATTGTGCTCCCCTGGAAGGAGCAGGTTCCTAGTTTGGGGACACTCCTGGATCCAACAATGTCACTTGAAGTCCAGGTGGCCTTTCTGTGGCTAGAAGCGCAACTTTGGCTGGCTCACCAGATATGGCACATTTTGGACAGAGATGACTTGGCCACTGTATTCGGTGCTCTGCTAACCTCCACGCTGGATTATTGCAATGCACTGTATGCGATGTTGCCCTTAAGGAAAACTCAAAAATGCCAACTGCTTCAAGATTCAGCAACCAGATACTTTTGGAAAGTGTGTCCTCCCTAAAAGAGGGCACGTGTTTCAGTGAGACCTGGAGACTGACCTCTTGGTTGTGGGTGGGTATATTGGACAGCCACAACACCCGATTGGTAGGTCCCTCATTGCTGGGTTTAATCTGGCCAATGGGGAGCTGTCTAAACGGGCCGAGGGACCTATATATACCTATGCACATGACCCAGAGCTTCCTCTTTCAACTCGTTCATCGGAACACCTGCCCACCTCTCCGTATATTTAGGGAATTTTGTGATTGACCTTGCTATGCCGTCGTGTGTCGTCTGTTGTTGGGACAGGGGCATGGAAGGAATTTTCCCCACTTAGCTGATTGGCTGTTGCCATTTGGGTTTCGCCTGCTGCGTAGCAAATTTTCACAACTTGGAAGGTTGCGGATAGGCACTGGTTCAGGTGATAGGGATGGGAGAATGGTCTCGCCATCCCTATGTGAAGGGTATTCCATTA